AGAGAGTGCATTAAGTTTGATCCTAAAGTTGACTCATTCAAATATTACTATAATCTTAAAGACTATGAACAATCCTTGCAAATTAAAGATGTGCTACAAGATAATATCCCTCATTCATGTCAATACTCACCTCCCACAACTGGGAGTTACCTATTTTTACGGTGATTAACCATCAATCTATATGGTGCTACTTGAGACATCGAAAAATCTCTCAGCTTTTGGTTGTTATTGTGTCCATTTTGTGTCAGATTTCAAGAGGGCTTGAAGCCTAAAGCCAATGGCTTGATCAAGAAATTACGAACGCGATAAGTGATGTGATTATGCCATTGCAAGTGACTGTGTTCATCAACAATAACCCTTGATTTCAAGTAGAAAACCAATTTGGTTTCAACCAATTGTATTTGATTGATTAATTCAATAAGGTGTACAACTCAAACTTATATACATAAGTATATGCTAAACTAGGTAATTACACGTTGACTTACAAACCAAGAAACTAAATAATACAGAGATATTTCCTATAGGACCAAATCTTCATCCCTGATTCTCGCAATCTTTAACACTCCCCCTCAAGTTGGAGTGTATGTTGATTACACTCAACTTGCTAATAAGACTTTCAAACTGGGAGGTACTCAGTGCTTTGGTGAATAAATATGCCAATTGTTGTAGAGTTCGTACATGGGCAGTTTTGACAACACCTTCTTGTATCTTTTCTCGAACCAAATGGCAATCAATTTCAATATGTTTCGTCCACTCATGGAACATGGGGTTGGATGCAATATGGAGTGCAGCTTGATTATCACAAAACAAAGTAACAAGTTTCGGATGATGAACATGTAGATCATTAAGCGCATACCTCAACCAAGTTATCTCACAACATGTAGATGCCATGGCTCTATATTCTGCCTCAACTGTTGATCTTGCTATTGTGGTTTGCTTCTTTGTTCTCCAAGATATAAGTGAGTCTCCAAGCATGATGCAATAGCCCTAGACTGACCTTCTTGTATCTTTACATTTTGCCCAATCAACGTCGCAATATGCTCTCAATTAAAGCGAGCTTGTGGAGTAAAGCATCATGCCTTGCCCTAGCGTCCCCTTTATATACCTCAAAACTTGATGTGCTGCATCTAAATGCGGTAACCTGGGCTTGTCCATAAATTAACTCAAAACGTGGACAGAATAAACAAGTTCTGGCCGAGTAATTGTCAAATAAATTAGACGACCAACGAGTCTTCGATATGTGGATGGATCTTCCAGCCAAGGTATTAAATATCGATGATATCAGAAATATCGGTAATCCAAAAACACGGAAATATATGATGGATAATATATAATCGATATCGAAAACCGAATGAAATATGAAAAAAAGTAAAAAAACTTGGAAATTTTTATTGAAACTTTGCAGGATGTTTATTATTTATTATCTATTAGTTTATCACAAAAAATTGGAAGGAAATGCATTGCATGATGGATTTAACTGATTTAAGTTGATTATATAACAAGCTGGCAAACATTATGAGTGTATTTGGAACTATCAAATTAGTCCTTTATCCTAAGGGTTGTGATTTTCACACACCCTTAACTACTTTTCCCACACCCCTGCCTATTTTTTAGTACTTAATTGGTATCCTATTATTTAATCTTCCATATATACCCCTCCCTATTTAATCTTTCATTAATTACCATCAAAAAGTAGGAAGGGTATATATGGAAGATTAAATAGTAGGATACCAATTAACTATTAAAAAATAGGGAGGGGTGTGGGAAAAAGTAATTAAGGGTGTGTGTGAAAATCACAACCCTTAAATCTGAATTAAAATGAACTGGATATTCTGGAAAAACCACCATCTCAGGCTGCCACGTGGCAGCCCCCAGCATTCCTCACGTTTTTCTCTCTCTCTCCCTTACCCCGATACCCCATTTCCTTCTCTCACTCACTTTGACTCTCTCTCTTTCTTCTCTGCACTGTCTCTCTCTCTCTCAAAACCCTCTTACCTCTCTCATTCTCTTGCCGTGACCACACACACACGCGGCAGCACCATCTGCTCGACTCGAGCAGATCGAGAACACCACTATCATCACACATCATCAGTCTTCTCTCTCCTGCCTCTGCGAGAATGGCGGAGCCCATAAACTCTCTGGCGATTCTTCTTTGATTTTTCGGTTAGGTAAGTCTCGAATCTCTCTCTCCGTGTTAGTGTGAAGCTCAAATTATTATCTTCACTGCGATCTGCAGAAGTCCTTCGTCACAGCAGCAGACAATGAGCTTCGTTCACCACACGCCGAACCACCACAGACATACTGGCGAGCGAGCACACCTATGAGAGGCGCAGATCTTGGCAGCTGCGACGACGGAGCTCGGTTGCCGTTCCGACGATGGAGCTAGAGCGATATTATCGATAATATTGATAATATCGCAATATTATCGATAATATCACGATATTTTGACAAAAACTAATTAGATACCTATTAAAATATCGATAACGCGAAAAACCGATAATATCGGCGATATTTCGCTGATAGTATCAGCATTTAAGACCTTGCTTCTAGCAACTCACCATTTGTCTGCATGAATGCCAATTTTTTATCCATAGGAAATCGAGTTGGTTTTGCTCCAAGAAAACCAGTGTCATCCAATATTTCTAAGGCATATTTTCATTGTGACAATGATATGCCTTGAGATGATCTTGCAACTTCAATGCCCTATTAAATATTTCAACTTTCCTAGATCCTTGAGTTTGAATTTGCTAGCCAAAAATTCTTTTGTCTTCTCAATAAATGACAAATCATTACTTGCCAATATCACACTATCCACATACACAAGGATAGTAGTAAGGCTTAAGCCTTTGGATCGGACGAACAAAGAATAGTTCGTTTTGGACTGTTGATAACCTACGGCCTTGAGCGCAGAAGAAAGCTTAAGGAACAACTATCTCGAAACCTGTTTAAGTCCATAAAGAGATTTCTGAAGTTTGCATACTTGTGTCTCCCCCTTTCATCTGTATCAGGGAGTCGCATGTAAACATCTTCAAGTAAGTCGTCATGGAGGAAGGCATTATTGACATCGAGTTGATACAAATGCCAACCCGAGCAGCGGCAATTCCAAGTAATAACTAAACCGTGACCAACTTAGCAACGGGAGCAAATGTTTCTTTGTAATCAAGACATTCGACTTGTGTATACCCCTTGGCGACCAAGCGTGCCTTGTAGCGTTCCACAGAACCATTTGGATTAAGTTTAATTTAATAGACCCATTTGCATCTGATGGGTTTCCTCCCGAGAGAGAGATGTTGTAGAATCCAGGTGTTGTTGGCCTCAATGGCAGAAACTTAATCTCTCATGGCTAGACGCCATTTAGGATCCTGAATAGACTACAAGTAATTTTGGGGATCTTTGGCAATGGAAAGAGAAGTGGTAAAAACATGGTGAGTGGGAGACAAACAATCATATGATAAGAATTGAGAGAGAGGGTGAGAAGTACTACCTTTATGTGATCCAACGTTCGAAGCCGATGATTGGTTAGGATGAGAAGGCAACTTGACACCTACATGAAATTGTCATAGGTATGGAGGTGGTCTAGTGGCTAATGTGGAAGAGCGACTGGATGTTTATGCAGGCATGGGTGGTGTGTTGTCAAGCGTGCGAAGAGGTTGTAAAGATTGGTCGATGTTTGGCAAGGTAGGTGGAGGCATTGGAGCAAGTTCATGGACGGTATGTTCAAGAATTAGAGAGGGAGTATGATGGTCTTCTATGGTGGTAGTTGTGAGTGGAACAAGTGGCAGATCAAATGAAGGATCAACCAGGGTAGGTAGGTATGAGAATGGTTGTTGTGTACTTGTATCAGAGTGTGATGTGGAAGGTTAGGTAAAAGGAATGTATTTTCATGAAAAAGCACATCACAGGAGACAAAAGTTTTTCGTGTGTTGAGATCATAAACTTTGTACCATTTCTTGCCATATGGGTAACCAATAAATATGCATGGTATAGACCTAGCATCAAATTTGGATGGATGGTATGCGTGCGTGGATGCAAGCATAGGCAGCCAAAAACTTTTAAATGTGAATATTTAGGTGGTTTGTGAAACAAAAGTTCGTAAGGCATTTTACCATGCAAGACTGGAGTGGGTGTACGATTGATGAGAGAAGCTGTCGTGAGGATGGCTTCTCCCCAGAAATTGGTAGGCAAGTTAGCTTGAATGAGTAGTGCTGAGGTTAAATTATGGGCCCTTGTCACTCCTAATTGTCTTCACTTTGTGAGAAAACTGATTTTCAACAAGATTGATAAAATTGGTCCAATAATGGCCTGTGTCAGATTTGTGCTTCATTAAGTAAATCCAAGTGCAACGAGTGTAATCATCAACGATCGTGGGGAAATATTGTGCTCCAGTGAGTGAAGCAACACGAAACCCCCCCCCCCCCCAAAATATCCATATGTAAGAGCTCAAAAGGCATAATAGTTGAAATTTCACTTAATGGAAACTAAAATCTCATTTGTTTGGCTAAATGACACACAAAACAATTATTGGAAACACAAGAACTAATGTCATTATTAGAGAGTGAAGTATGATGAAGGGCTTGGTCAGAGAGGCAGCCTAAGCGTTAATGCCAAAGGTGTGGTGATGTTTTCTTGACAACATGATAGGTTGATAAGGTGGGTCTTCTGTTGGTGTCGTCCAAAAAATATAAACCTTCTCGTTCAGTTCCCGTCCCAATCATCTTCCCCGAATGAAGGTCCTGAATCACACAAAAATGACTTAGAAAATTGGTGATACACAAAGACTGATAGGCAAGTTTACTGATGGAGATTAGATTGAGTTGGAACATTGAGACGCAAAGGACATCATGTAAGGCAAAATCTGTGGAAAATTTCATGGTTCCTATGTGTGTCACAGTGGCATAAGAACCATCTAGCAGTTTTACTGTCTTATTTCTAATACGCACAAAAGAGGTCAACAAAGTATGTGAGGTAATTATGTGGTTTGTGGCACTGCTATCCAGGATCTATGATGACTGCTGACCATGAGAAGTGAAAGAAAATGCTTTACTTGAGAGATTATTCAGAGAGGAATTTTTACCAACATTGTTCGCCTTGGCTTTGTTGTTGTTGAGCAGGGTCATGATTTGCTTGCACTGGTCAGACGTGAATGGAAAAGAGGTCGTCAATTCTTTCCTTTCAAGGTTACTTGATACATTGTTACCTCTTGGTCGCTCATGCTTAGAATGGCTCATTTGTTGCTCCGGATCTGCCCTTTTAAGTTTCCGACAATAATCTATCGTATGACCTTTCCAGCCACAATAATCACATTTTAAAAAGGCACGACAATCTTCAGTGGTGTGATTGTTTTTGTTGCAGTGAGCACACTTCATATCAGCACTTTTCTTGCTAGAGTCGGGTCTTTTTGCGGCAAAAATAGCAGCCTCCTGAACCGGTGCTTTTCCTGTAATGGTGTTGTGTTGTTTCTCATGGCGTAGCACAAGGGAATATACCTTGTTGACGGGGGGAAGTGGATCCATCAATAGAATTTGATCCTTCACTGCACTGAAGGTTTCATTAAGTTTCATGAGAAACTTAATTGCCTTTTGATTTTGCTGAAATGCCAACACATGTTGCAAAGTGTTGTAGTCGCAATCTGGTAGGCTGATTGCAACATCTCTTTCATCCCACAACGCCTTGAGTTTGGTGAAGTAAGAACTCACAGTTATTGTTCCTTGGACGCAATCATGAATTGCACTCTCAATATGATACAGTTGCATATTGTTCGCTTTGCCCATATTTGTATGTATTTCCAAGTGTATTCACCATAGGCAACACCAACGCATGATGTTTTGGTTGAATTCGTGTTTGATACTAGTGTCGAGATAATTCTATATGTGTTTATTTTTTTAATAATCATAAGAAGTTTATTATTGATAAGCTTAAGTTCGAGTTTAATCTAGATAGTTGGGTACCATTTTCTTTATTTGAATTGTCAATTAATGTTTCGCGTTGATACTAATTGTTTTTAAGAATATAACATGGTGTGATCTGCCCTTGAATAATAAAAAAAGTGGCGTGCGGATGCTGGAAACTTACTCTTGGGTTACATGAACTCTCATTCGGTTTGCACTGCTACCGTTATTATGTCTTGTAAGTTTAACTTCATGCAGTTTATATTACTACCAATACAATAGAAAGTTTTCTTGTGAGCTAAGATACTACTACTGTAGATGAAAAAATTGTTGTTGAAATACGATGTTCTTTTGTGTAACAATTTACGCAATTATTGTCAAAACATGTGTTTACATTTATCGCTTAATTTTTACACTCCGTGACATGATTATTGCACCGGAGATGATGGATGGCATTATCGGTGTATACAATGGGCAAAAATCATGTTGACATCAAGCCTGCAATTAATTTATCTAGCTGAGTTTTCGATTAGTTACAAGCCTAATAAAAGCCATTCCTCTCAAGTAAAAAGACATCTACACATTGTGATGAATAACTAACCGCTCAATATTTTGTTTCACTATCGACTCATGCAAGCTTCGTGATCAATTGCAATTCCATTCAGATGGGAGGACCATTTGGGCCAGCCTTGGACAACATCAACAGAGTTTGAGTGTTGGACATGCTAAGATGGGACTGGATTGGGCTTTGAATCATGTCCTATTGTGACCCATTCCTCCTCAAGGGACAGTTAGTCCTGGTGTATTTGGAATCTAATTTAACATTTGTCCACACTACTTAACAAGTTCATCCATGTTTATTTGTCATGGCTAGATCCCAAATCCAACTCAACATTCACCTCCACTCATTTATTCGAGCCATTGTGGCCAAAGAGTAGCATAACTATAGCGACATGTTCTAAATTAATCTTATTCGTTGAATAATTGATCAATAGGAACTGCCATGACAATATTCACTGTAGGAGATGAGTGGTTATGAGAAGCCAAGACAATTTACTACTTGAGTAAATAGTAAAGGCCATAAGTCTACTCCTAAACCCGCTCCTAAACCCACATCAACAAACCAACAGGATCCTCTCCGGATCCTTTTGGTGAGGATCTTGAGGATCCATGAATCTTGTTTGTTCATCGTACATCGTGCGGTCAGTTTTTATTAAGTATTGTTTATGTTTATTTTTAAATAAAAATATTTAAAATAATTTTTTACCACACGATGTACAATAAATGGACACGATTCACAAATTTCCAAATCCTCACAAAGAAGATCCGGCAAGGATCCGGACTCATCAACAAAATGGTGAAATCAACAAAATGGTGAAAATGCTCTTTATAGTACTCGTATGGTGGATCCAATTAGATAGGATAAGTCTCTAACCATATAACTTATCAGGTTGCCTTATTCAAATTTTTTTAGCAAGACAAAACCTCCCATCTCTTCTAATACAAGCTAAACTACCTAAGCATTTGTCTGCAGTCAAGCATGTAAGATTGGCACGATCTAAGGACCAGCCATGAAGTCTACCCTTGTGTGATCCAACTTGCTAGCCTTAGAGCATCTTCAAGAGAGTCCATAAAACTAAATTTGAAATGCCACATAGGAGTTTATGTGCTCTCTCAAAGTTGTCAAATGAGTCTTCAAAAATATCGGTGTTATCCACATAGCTATTTTTATCTCTTACTCACCTCTTGTTAGTTTCTGTTTTTTTATCTTTTTCAATTCATTCAATTCGACAGACAAAAATTGAGAGGAGTGTGTAAAAAATAAAAAATGATCTATAAATAGCACCACCCATTTAGAAAATGTCCTACACTCTCTACATTTAAATACTCTTTATGCCACTCTTCAAATGAAATATTAAAAAAAAAAAGTCATATGCTGGAGTAATAAAAAGTACTAAGGTTTGTGCAGTCCGTCGGAGCAAAATTGTGAATCAACAAATTTGATTTTCAAACTGTCATGTGTGTCAACAAATTTCTATTTTAAAGAGTCATATTTAGAAAAATTGTTAAAGATACTCTTAGCCGTCATATAACCAAGTAGATAATTTTATAAGATGACCGAAGATAAAGTCATAGGAATAATGTGATGAAATTGTCCCATTCACAATTTTTTTCACTAAGCAACAACTGCTCTAACGAGCACAATAAACTCTATATTTTGGTTTGACATCGCTCTGTAAATTTATTCCAGCTTAAATAAGGGGATGAAGAAGAAGTAACTTGAGGGGCAGAGGCCATAGAGACGGCTAGTGCGTTGGGTTTCAGGATTAGAGAGAACCGGGCGTCTAATATCATGTAGAAAAGCTATTATTGGATTTCACATCTTAATTCATTCCAAGGTTACATAATATATAGAATACATCTAATTCACTAATTAATTACAACTCATTCATTTCTCTGTATCACTTACTAAACTTAATTCAATCTAGAGAATATGGAGCAATTACTATTGGTTCATTTTTCCTATACGATTTACCAAACTTGACTCAATCTAGAGAACTTAACCGATGCTAACAGATGCTTATATGAATTTATTGAGAAATGCTAAAGGGACTCCTGAAATTGAGACACTCAAGAGGATTCTCTGCTACTTTACAGTTTAACGTCAATTTTCGTGTCAACATTATGAAATATTATATAAAAAACATGAGCTGACAGATAGTCTATAGAAAATTCCACTTCTAAAAGAGTCCCTTAAAACATCTACACCAATTGATGAAGACCAGAACAAAAGCAACAATGTTGCTCTCTCTAACCCAAAAGAACCCTCTCCAACAATCTATAAAATCAAAGCCAAGTTAAGCACTAAGACCATCTCCAACTGAATGGTTCAGAGGGCCGAAAATTGCCCAAAAACCATCTCCAACTAAAGGCTAGGCTAGATGGCTCGTGGGCCCCACGGAATCTGAAATTGCCAAAGGGCCAACCGGCTAACCCAAATTTTTTATTAATGTTGTTGGATATAACGACAGGAATAAAAGCAATAGTCTTGGTTATAACCAACACGAATAGTAGGCAAAAATTTGAATATAACGACTAGCTGACTATAGCTAGCCATTGTATTCAAAATTTATTTTTTTTAATGAATTTAAACATTTTTTTCCCTATAAATACCTAAGTCATTCCTACACCATTTCTCACATAATTTTCACCATTCCATACTATCTCACCTTATTCTATTTCAATTCTTCACATTATATTTTCTTACATCTTCCAATAATATTTCCTTCAATTTTTTTCAATAATTTTCAAATGGCCTCATCTGCAATGAAAGGTAGGGTTTGGACCTGAAAAGAAGATGAAGTTATTTGCAGAGCTTATAGATGGGTCTCGGAAGATAGTGTGAGGGGTATTTCTCAAACAAGTGAAGGTGTTTGGACTTGTATGGCCAAAAAATACTTAGAGTTCTACAAAGGCACCATTCCACCGAATACCCGAAACCACGGGAGTTGTTATTCAAGATGGAAGAAACATCTTCATCCAAGTTTGAATAAATGGCATCAAGCACTGTTAGCATCTGCAAGTAGACATGAAAACAACGTCAATTACTACGACAAAGTTAGTGTTTTAACAGTTTATTTTAAATGTTTAATTATATTACATTTAATTTCATAAATTAATTTCCTTTAATTTTTGTAATTATATTTTCTGGATACGCCAAGCGAAGAAATTGTATATAGAGGGCAACTCAAAACCCTTTCAGTTTCACGGTTGTTGGGAAATTTGTAAAGGGTGGGTGTTATTTGAAGATCCACCTCAACATAGAGTAGGTCTTATGCCGGTGTTCGGAACTGCATCCCAGCTGTAGATATGGATGAAGATGGATCTCCTACCATTCAACAAATAAGGGTAGAAAATCCATCACCGGACGAAGGTTCCTTACCTAAGGCTATGGGACGAAACAAGGCCCGAAGGTTAAAGGAAAAGGGCAAGGCAAATGATGAATACGCTGCTCAACAATAAGTGGCGGCCTTATTGCGATTACTGGCGGATCAAAATGCCATTGTCATGGAAGAAGGGAACCGTAGGCATGATGAACGAGCCAAACAAATACCAGAAGAGATGGATGATAAGAATATGGAAATGAACACTACAAATTACACTCCAATAAGTAAGGTCTATTTTGATAAGAAAATAATAATAATAATTATGACCCGGCGGCATTTGTTTACCTCTGACTATACTTCTACAATGGCAAATGATGAAGATGATATTGATTATAGATATTAAATTTAAGTTTTTGTAGTTTTTAAATTTAAGTTAATGTTGTTTTTAAATTTAATTTGTAGTTTTTAAATTTAAATAATAAATTATGTTTGACCCTATGATCCTTTGGCCCTCGATTGAAGATGAAGGCAAATATAATCATGTACTGTTCATTAAAATATTAATATCTTGAAATATCAGAAAGCTAAAATGAACCATCGAACCAACCATTGGTTAGAGATGGCCTAATAGTCCAAATGCCTACCTTCTCAAGCCCGGCCTACTCCCTTTGGACAATCTGACGTTAGCATTTCTCAAATTTCTTCCCGAATAAATTGTGATTTTTGTAGGTTTTTAATTTGAAAAGACAGGTGACGGACGGTGATCCACAAGAGAAAGGTAAAAAGGGTGAAAACGTAAAAAGGGGAGCAAGTGTGCGCGTGAAATTGTCCTGTAGTTTTGTGCGGTGGGCTATGACACCGAGGCGGGAACTTTGAAGCTTAGGTAATGATAGAGTCAGTGTTGTCAGCCGTTGAGAGACAAATATAGGGCCCCACAACCCCCCATTCACTGCCATTGTACACTTCCCCTCCACGTGCTCCTCAACACCTCCTCGTCTTTTCAAAAACCCTACCATCACTTTGCCGCCGTTTCATTTACTTTTGCTTGCGGTTCGCCCTTTGACCCACCAACCAAATGTTTGACCCAACATCACGACAAGTTTTTATTGTTTTACATGGGAATTTAGGGATGCTAAATTGCTAATTGCTAATGCAGTGCAAGTGGATTAGCTTCGGGACTTGTTCGTTGCATCTTAAACGCTTTCACTATTTGTTCTTATCTCTTGCAAGGTTAGGATTAGATAGACTATATTCACGAATTAAATAATGTATCACAAAAATTTACGTACTATTAAAAATTAATTCGTTGCATCTTAAATATTTTTATATTATTTAGTTTATAAAATTTTATCTACAATTTTATTTCTAGCGTTAACCTTTTTAAAAACTCAAAACTTAAACAGTCGTGTATTATATTAACAAACTTTTGGTGACCCTTGTTATTGTCGTTATCCTTGCTAAAATGGCGACCCACGCCTGTCGACAGAAACTTTCAGTAGCTCCTGGTGCTAACCAATCTTATGTAGGTTTATGTGTTTGTGGTTGCATTATGATGATGATGGTGGCTCAGAGTATCCCATACCACCCCTCCCTTATGTTTGTCGTTCCGGGCACTACTGGAAATGCTTCTCCAATGTGGACACGTCATCAATCTTTTGTTTTTTTTTTATATTTTGTTTGTGTTGCTTTGGAAAGTTGTTTGTCGCTACGACAACTATGTGGTTTGCTGCTAGTGATGGCTTTATGTGAGTGTTTCGGTGCTAGGTAGTCGTGTTTGTCATTCTGTGACATATCTACTTCGGGACTCCTTGTTTTAATGATGTGGTTTTTGTGGTAGCCGAATACGAGTTTGAAATAATTTACGTTTTGTACGAATTATCTTCAGATAACGAAATTGATCATTAAAGAATATGTATCATCTGACACTTCTTGTGATCTGTGTTCTTATTAATAAAAAAACTATCTCTTATCTAAAGAAAGAAATATCAATATGAGTCTATTTGCTTCTGATCCTCGTATATCAAATCTGAGTCCCTATACAAAGTCGACCCTTACCGCACCAAAACCTAGTTGATAAGCAAAATGGTGAACCAACAAACAATGCATTAAACAAAGATAATAATTAAGATGATGTTATCGACATTCTGAAAATTATATTTTGCATGCTGAACTTTTTATAATTTAAAAAGAAAAATACAGTTATAAAGAGGGTAGAAAAAATTTTCTATAGTTCTAATGACAGTTCCATGATCAAACTTGATCACATGCATTACGAATTTAGAATTAGCCGTAAATCGTTCAAAACGAAACAACTTTGTTTCTCATATCACACATTAATGGATTGGATTTCCACATTATCCAATAAAAACTTTAAAGCGTCCACGATAATGCAAAAAACCAAACGGCGTGCGTTTTAGCTGTCACATAGAAACTGACAATCATAAATGTAGGTCCACAATCCCAATTAGGAATTAACAAAAAATGTTTGGATCGGTGCATAAATGTCAAATACGCCCCACCCAATACCATCTTTACACGCATGCATTCAATGCGTCAAACCTATTTAAATTAAATTCGTTTCCTTATTAAAATACCAAATAAAAAAAATAATACCTTCCAAAGTTTTTTATTAATTTATAAAATAACATTTAACATTTAATATTTTAAATTCAACCCACGGCGAAAGCTGTCGGCGTAAACGAAGACTGTCTCCTCGCCTATAAATACCCTCCAAAATCTCCAACCCTAAACTCTCACTCTTCGGACTCCGCCTCCATTTTTCTCTCTCCGTACGGTCCACCCAATGTCTACTGTAGACGCGCTCCACCTCCGCGACACCGCACTCTCCCTTGCCGTCGAGCCGCCTTCGCCTCCGCCTGGTATACCTCGACCTCAGCCAAAGCACGGTGCGCCCGCCAAAGCCGGCGCAGGCAAGGATCCGCATTTTAGAGGCGTGCGGAAGCGGCCGTGGGGGCGGTTCGCCGCTGAGATTCGCGATCCCTGGAAGAAGACTCGGAAGTGGCTCGGCACCTTCGACACCGCCGAGGAGGCGGCGCGTGCATACGACGAGGCCGCGCTTAGCCTCCGCGGTCCCAAGGCCAAGACCAACTTCGGAAATCTCGCTCTTGTTCCGCCTCACTCGCTTCTCCTCGGCGGCGGCTCTGAGATGTTCTGGCCTCCGCCGCCGATGTACTTTATGTCTGGAGCTCCGGCGGTGGCGCCGATTAGGTCGGAGTATACAGGGTACAAGCTTGAGAAGGTGGACGCCGTGCGGGGCCAGGAGGAGAAGAAGATGAGGAAGAACAAGAAACCGTTCTTGTTCGATCTGAATCTACCGGCGCCGCTGTTCTGAGCAGCCGCCGATGTGGTTTGAGCGTTTACTTGGGTGCCATTCCATTTTTGCCCTTGGCGGTTACTCTTAATTTCTACCTTACATGTGTACAGTTATTGTAAAAACGGGAATAGTAAGCTAAGGGCGAGATTAAAGGTTAATTAACGATTGTTAATTCTGTTTGCACTCAGCTTTATCTGAGTCAGATATTTGTCGCAATTTGTTGCCCTTTATTTATTTATTTTAGCATGAACAAATTATCATTAATTCGTTTCTTAGCCTAATACTAACAAATTAACAATGCCATAATCGTGTTTATCTCATCTTTTCTTTTCTCTAAATTGAATGGTGATTCTGTAATGATATGGACATGAAATCTCTTTCCCTTTAATATGTATGCAGTTATGATGTAAATCCGTTATGTTTTGGGTTGGACAGTGATTTTCACGTTTTCGTTTTTTTTAGCACACTTACGGAGTGTTTGTTGCGTCGGACTATCTCGGACTGGACTAGCTTCAAAGACTAAGCTGGACTGGCTTAGACTAGATTAAGCTGAACTAACTTAGTGAAGCGTTTGGTGCAGTGTTGGACTAAGAAGATGGATAATAACAAATTTTAATATTATATTATTTAATATATAAATTATTAATATTTTACTATGATCTAGGTGACCGGAGATGACGAGGACGAGGACGAGAGAGGATAATCTTAGCTAGTCTCATGATTATTGGGAGGTCTCGCTAAGACCTCTTAGTGAAGGATTTTGTCCATGCTAGTCCCCTTTAATCTCATTAATGTTAGTCCCAGCATGGACAAACGCAGTATTGGACTAACAGCTAGTCCAGTCCCACTTAATGAGGGCAAACATACGTCCCCTTATTCTCTAATTATTATTTTTTATTCTCTTTGTATATAACTGCTACAAAAAATGTAGTACTACGAACAATATAATCACTTCGAGACCTAGTTATTATAGCTAGCCTATCTGAGCTGTTGGTTTTTCTTATTAAAAAAAAAAAAAAAAAAAAACTGTTTATTTGGGACGAGCGCAAAATGACTATTTTCGTGTTCATTTGGGATGAGTGCAAAATGATTATCACCAATATGTGAACCCATATTGATATTGGGCTGGTCCATTCAACATCCTAGACAGCAAAATCTCATTCTAAACAAAGTTATGGGTTGGGCTTACAACTAAAGCCCAAAATGAAACAAAGACCAGGCTGTAGGCCCATCTATGATTGAAGGGGATGCAAACATTTTCTTCTCATTTCTCCCTTAAACTAAAACGATTGAGAAACCCTACACCCACTGGTTGCTTGATTGTCAAGAATCAAGAATATTAATACCAGAAATTAATATTTAATTAACTAATTATGGATTGCGTATGGTATCTTGACTGCCTTTCTCTGGTTGGTTAGGGACTAGTTAATCAGAGATTTAGAAAAAGTTGCAACAACCGTAATCACTAATTAAACATTCTTAATCTTCTTCTTGACATAAAAACACGCCATTGACCTTCAAGAAAACGATTTTCTAATATAACCTTATTTGATTTTGACAAGAAAATAAATTCAAACTTGAGCGCAATAAGATTACTCTACACGGTTGACATACTCAATTTTGAATATATTAAAAGCAGAAGCTGATTGCTCCAGTGTATGACACACACTAGATCAATAACGTGTTGAATGTGCAACAACCAATAATCCAACAAACAAAAATCTAACGATCACAAATGTAGAAATACTTTATACACTAGTGCATGGTAAAAAAAACCTCAAAAGAATGAGGTCACTTATATTTAACTTTCTCTGTAGATTGCATTACCCAACTCTCACAAGCAAAATAGTAGAAGACAACAGGTTTTAGCTTCAGCAACAATCATTTCATTTGTGCCTGTTAGTTGTGCTACATCTTTTTTATTCTGTTTTTCTTTTGGGTGGCGTACTTAGCCATATCACTTCTTTACTGCAAAGGTCCCAAGGATTCACCAACTAAAGAATGAATATTTACTACTACAAAAATTAACTTGGGTAGCACGTACCCACCACGTTTTTCGCACAACACTTTTTACAAAAGCACGAGAATTTTTTTGTATTTTTGATCTTCTTCATGCAGTTGCACGTTGGTCTGGTCTCTCACCGCAACTGCATGTGAGAGCTGTCATGGTAGAATAACACGGCCAAAATATCTTCATCAGGAGATCAAAGAATTGAGCATTGCCAAAGATAAATTCCCAAAAACTGTATGCTTACTATGTAGACAATTATATCTTCACGTCGCGTAATGAATGGTATAAGAGCATGGACACATGGGCTAATGTGAAGAATGCTCTAAGCAAACAGAATATATGCCCGTCTGCATGCAATAATCGTCCCCATTACCAGCGCGAGGCCAAAGAATTTTTCCTTTTTTTAGCTGAAAAAGATGTTTGGAATTGGACCCAAAAATGACATTTTGGTTTTATTCTGGTGAAGGAATAATAACAAGATATCTTATCTTGGTCCCCCTCAGTAGTCACACCCAACTTTTCTTTTTCCTCACACCAATTGAAAGCAATAGTAATTCGGTAAAAAGGATGGATTATCTATGACTTGGCTTCAAATTAAAACTGGCAAAAGTCGTGTTTGTCATGTTCATGTCGTTTTCGTTACATATCGTATCTTAACGGGTTTTTAATAAGTGATCCCATAATAACTCGTTTTGTTAACGGATTGTATTGTTTTATGTCAGGTTAACGGGTTATGCAATAAATTGTTATGTATGATGCCTAGAAATGACAAATGATATCTTATCTGATTCCTACCATGTGAGTCACCTGATAAAAATCTAACTCGTTAAAAGGTTAACCACAAACCTATTATTTTCGTGTTGTGCAGAATTAATGGATCGTGCAATCAATTGTCAGACCTACTTTTAAATCATCCCTTTCATAGTAAACATTTTCATCCAAAAGTATAAACAAAGAAAATAGTAAATGAAAACCAAAAGTACCACATGAAGGGCATTTCATTAATTTCAAAAACCCTAAATTGTTTGAAGCACTGATTGCTAAACAGAACATAAAACATAAAACAGTTCTAATGGGATAATGACCTAATTTTACAGACTTGTTGCACTGATTGCTTCATGCCCGCTTGCCTGAACGCAAAAACGCTCGAAAGAGCCCAACTCCCCAAAGCCGAAATAGCCGCTCCGATTTGTATGTCATGCTTGAACCATCCAAATATATGTACAGGAGCATCTCATGCCGAACACAGAAGGATTTGATAAATTGACTGTTGGGCTTGAGCTCACCGAGGCTCTCCATGAATTTCATGTTGTTGTGGATTGCGATGGTATCCTTGGGTGGTTATGCTCACCTTCGTAGGTAACCATAAGCATGGATGGTTCTTCCAAGCACCTCTCGACATGCTTCCTTGCTGGACAACCTCTCATGCTACTGCATTTATAGTATCCCCTGCACAAGTTAAAGGAGCTTCAATAGTTAATTAAGTTCACGAGAAGTTTAAACTTAAAAAGTCTGTGATCTTCGACAAGCATAGTAGCATATCGAATAAACTCAAAACTGCACATCAACAAGCATTATCAAATATCAAGTACATGTCGTATTCAACTTTGATTCTTTCTGAGATTTGATTTCCGAGAATATAAAAAATACGAAATTGCATAGAAGTATCGAATAAACTTGAAAGTGCATTCTCCCAAGCCTCATCAAATATCAATCACATGTTGTATTCAAACTTAAATTCTGTGAACAATCTTGACCCTAGATTCGATTGTTAAAAATGGATAGAAATTCGAATGCTGAAAAAAGGAACAAGAATCTTAACTACCATCTTTGGCCAAAAAATGAACTATTTTGGCCACCACCTCTTCTGAGCAACAAATAAACCACGAGAATAACTTTAAAGTAGGCATTAGAATGTTTTTGTATTAAAGGACATAATTAAAATACTCGACGAAATCAATAAAAGTAGGGTATTCCACATTTCCAATGTACCCCACTGGATTACATCTCATCAAGCGGCACAATCCAGTGACATGAATTTGCAGAATATAAACAACAGGACAACACACGAGATCTCTAGATTTTTACCAAGATACTGCAATGTGCAATCCTATAGTGGTTCGTCACACTAACTGATTTTTAGTTCACGGAACGCACACCTCTATCATATAAGTAAAAAATTCTTAGAAAAGAGTTAAACACTAAAACTCACTACAAATCAATATTCAACCATGTACATAAAGCACTAGCAAAAGATTTTGCGCATCAAATAAAATCAATTTCTCATTCGAAATGCAGAAACATATTGTACCTAGGGTGAGGGGAACCCTTGATTGGCTTCTGGCCATATTTCCGCCATGAATAATCATCAGGAGGGATATCTGCAAGCTTGTTACTGATAGCAGGCACCTTAATTGACCTTTTAACCCTATGCTTCCTGCCAGCAGAACATAATTAACAAAAAATAGTTAAAAAGCAAGTATAATAGTTGTCCACCATGACAGGACACAGAAGCATTGCAAGCTATTATTGAATCAAGTAGAGCATAAGGAAAAATTCAACCTCTTCTTTGAGCAGTGACATCTACCACTGCTACCACCGCATTTTACACTCCCATCGTCTCCCCTAGCAGAACACTTCCTCTTATGTTGTGAATTCTGATCCGAAGAGAGAGGAGCCCCGATCAAATGAAAGGAATTACCATCGAAGTTAGCCACACTTCCATCTATGCTCAAGGAAGAAATGAAGGATCTTGTAGATGACATTGTAGGTGTGCAGCTAGAGCTATCAAAATTCAGATTTATGCCACTATTGCTCCTACGATACATCATTTCCGTTTGCTGCTTCATCTGGTGCTGCTGAAGTAACATCCTCTGCTGCAGTTGCTGTTGTTGTTGATGTTGCTGGTGCTGCCGTTGTTGCTGAAGCAAGTGATATTGAGCGGGCGGCACTTGTTGGGCAGGGTGAATTGGGGTTTTTCCATTAGTACTCAATTCCAACGATGGATTCCCCAAACACAACGCACTTTTAACATCTAAACTCAAATCTTGAGTTGGGTTTTCAGGGAAGCTAGATTGAAGAAAGTGGGGAGTTTTGGATGGACGGTCCGCAATCGATATAGGATTATCCAAAAGGATTCTTTCAGGAAAAGGGATTTGAAGCTTCTTAAGCTTTCTAACTCTGGCATGACCTAAACCAGTATTGAGAATGGAAACAACTTTCTTAAACCTAGACACAGCCTTTCCAGTTTCCACCGTTAGATTCCTATACTGAACTTGTTCCTGTGGCTGAGACAATAGGCTAAGAACTCTATGGCAGCTCTCAACAGCTGTTTTGTTAGCTTCTTCAACTTCCTCCATATCTACAACAACAACCAACCACTATCCTAAATCCAGAAACGGTAAACAATTTACACAAAACACACCAGAAGTGCCAAAAACTCAGCAACCCAACACAATTTATAGGATGTTCAGCAATCCACAGCAGATAAAACAACTACCCAGGTAACCAAAACCCCAATTATTTTACCCAACAAAGCTATGAACTTTCTAATGAGATTTCAACCAGGAGAACAGAAAACCAACTGGGTTTATGAAATTTGACAGATTAGAGGAAACCCCAGATGGAAATCAAGACATTACAGCATAGAAATTTGGTAAAATTGTGAGTTGGGAGAGTGGAGAAAAAGAGAAGCAAAAGAACAGACCTTGTTGGAGTTGGTGCTGTCAAACCCTAGATTCTCAATTCATGCTTTTGAGATTGAAAGGTGTGAAGGAGAAGACTTTTGCTTTGCTCTTGATAGAATTCACACTGCCGCAAGAATACAAAGCCCCCATCTTTGTTTAATATATAAATTTCCCATTTTTTCTAGAGGGAGAAACCCAAAGAATTCAACTCCATCTTTGTTTAATATATAAATTTCCCATTTTTTCTAGAGGGAGAAACCCAAAGAATTCAACACAGGAGAGAGAGAGAGAGTGAGAGAGTGAGGGAGAGAGAGGAGATTTAAATAAACAGGTAGTGAAAGAAGCAGGGAAACTAAGAAGGAAAGAAAGCTCAGGAAATAAAATGAAACTGCCGTCTGTGTCACAGATTTGAAGGGGCAGGCCCCACTCTGAAGACCTTTGCTATTCTCTTTTCGGAAATGGCCTTCCTCTTCTCCACACAGACGTCCGTCCGCTAAATGTTAAAGTGAGCCCTCGATTTTACGGTTTACACGAAGTTTTCTTTTTATTTTTTCCCCTTCACTTTTTCTTTGTTTTCTTTTAAGATTTGATTTCCTTTTTTTTTCCCTTTTTTTCGTCTTCCTCACCCCACACACCACCCCCCCCCCCAAAAAAAAAATCAATTTTCAAGTTTTTAAAATTGGGTATTTCTTTTCCTCCTTCATGAGAGTGCAAAGACCATTAAGTCCATCTTTACTTTTGTAACCTAAATGAAAAACTTTACGCTCTGACGAGATCTGCTGTGTAACCGGCGGTGTATTTGTCCATTTTTTTATCTCTTTGATTATGTATCGGTTACAAAATTGAGTCTCTCGTGTGCTTGGTGAGTTGTCAAATGGTGGTAGAGTTGGATTTTGCTTGGCCTCTTTGCATGTTGTGCAATCTCTGCTAATTTGGATTGGGCGTGGTAAATGAGGACATAGACGGTTTCGTATCCTCAAACGTCTGCGATTTAGTTCATTCATTGACTGTCTGCATGTCTTTCTTTTTCTGTGTAAAATGACACTTGTTTGAACGTACTCACATGCATAAACACCCGTTAAGTCAATTACATTGGGCAGTGTGCTTGTTTTCTTGCACTCAAGTTTGAATTTTCACACATATGGATTAGTCATTAGAACATAGTACCTATTAAAATATTATTTTGTCAAAATAAGAAAAACTCAATCGCACAATGTTCTAATATATGGTACAGTTTGTTCAGGGGTTATACTCGGTCAATGTCCAAGTTCAACTTGAAGGAGATGCGAGCTTAGTATTGGCTGCTATTAAGGGCCAAGGTGAGGATAGGTCTAATTTTGGACCCATTATTAATGATTTGCGATGTTTCTGTTTGGAGTGGTCGAAGTCAACGGTAAATCATGTGCAATGGGAAGGAAATTCGGCGGCTCATCGGCTTGCTCGGCTAGGGCTTACTTGTACTGAGGAGATTGTGTGGTTCGAGGAACCTCCGGATTTAATTCATGATATTTTGTTGGGAGGAAGGATTGTAAGTTTGATTGTTCATTTGAGGATAGGTCTATTGTTGTGCGGGACACTCTTTTCCTTCGACCGGGTTGAAATCCCCAGCAAGGTTTTTATCGAGGCTCATTTTGCACACTATCCTCAGTTTGTATGAATTTTGTTTTGTTTAATGAATATCGTACCTTTGTTTCAAAAAAAAAAAAATTATTCACCAACGATCGTTGATAAGATCTGAATTCACCACTCACAAAATGAAGATTGAAGTGGCATTAGATTAAATGATTATTGATACTCTACTACTGTTTGACAACTTGAAGTCTTGAACTTTGTCATAACAAAGATTAGATGACAATGATCTTTCGTTGCTTAATCTTCAGTGTTTTGATAGAAAAGAAAATGGGTAAGTTGTTTTTGTCAAATTATATCAATTCTTATAACATTTTACTTACGAAATTGAAATCATGACTTGCTATACTAAAGTGGAGACATGTCATTAGGCTAAATAGTTAAGCGTGGTCATTGTTATATGAGAACTTTTTTGAAATGTAATATGAACTTATGAATCATTTCCACTCTGTCATATCAATTTTTCGAAATCATTAATTTTTCATCTCATCATAAGCCCGTTAAGCTTTTTATCCAAAATAAGTCATGTGGCTTGCACATTACATGTTTTTAAGGTTATTTAGAACATTTCAACTCAATTTTTTTTATCAACATGATTGACCACGTTGAATTCTCAAGGATTACAAATAGCTAAATTCCATGCTAATGAGCTTAATATACTTTTTTAGTAGTTGACTATAAGCTTTTGAAATGAACACAACATGTTTTTTACTAGCCAAAAGTCCTAGGTTCGTACCCTAGAGAACTTGTGAAACAAAAGTTAAAAGTTTGAAACCAATTCATCACCTTACCCAATGCTAACATATGTTCGTATAAAAAAAGAAAATTAACTTGAAAAAAGAGATCAAAAGTCCAAAATGACCCAGAATACAACTTATTTGGATGAAAAACTTAACGAAATTAGAATGATATGACAAATTAATGATTTTCAAAAATTAATATGACAAATCACTTTAAATTTAATGTTAATGGTGGTGATCATGATATTTTTTAGAAGATGCATTACATAGTAAATTGTGATATCTATAAACAAAATATTGTCAATATGGTGGACACCTTAAATCAAGATAGTGATTGAAAAATCAACCTTAAATTGACTTAATTGGTGCAAAACTAACTTTATCATCATTTATTGGATCTAATCTTCTACGGTCTAGTGGTATTCTTCTTTACTTTTACGTGAGATGTCTTAAGTTTTATTCACGCTAAAGACAAATTTAAACCATATTATTATTAGCATATTGTGAAGCTAAGCCTATACTTTCTATTTTAATATTGATAATATCGTTTGTTAAAAAAAAATTAATTAATCTTGATCAGTAATAAAATTAATATTATCAATGAAGGGGAAAAAGAAGGTGACATAAACTTTGAGACTTTGCTTTCAAGTCTTTTACACCCTCTGCTGCGCGGATTATCCCAACTTCTGTTCAAGAGTGGGGCCCAAGGCCCAGTCCAGCACTGGAGAGCATCCAATATAGCCGTTGCCAACGACGCCTAATCATTTTTCAACACGTGTAAAATTATCTCTAAAGTCTGACACACAAACCGATGTGCTGTTCATACGTACTAATATTACCGCATTTTTCATACCGCACTTAACCGATCCGTTGTTTAACAATTAAAATGTGGTACGATACATATGAAAACGTAGTAAGTGTAGCATTACTCTTTCTATTTGGAACCGGGGAGATTCTGTTACTTCGGTGACTGACACGGCATGGGTTCCCACCGGTCCTACCTCCGTTGACTTTACTCCTCTCCTTTGCGTAATCAGCTCACTTTCAATTAAAAATTAATTCACTTAATTATTATGTAATAATTCCTAATTACAGATCTTACATGATCATTATATAGGCCTCGTGAAATTGTCCAACTTTTACATAACCAGTATATAATTTTCAACAACTATATTATGATCCTTAAGGAAAGACTTAACATTATGTTATGATTGTAGTACCAAGGGGACTGAAATTTAGGAGGCTAGAAATGTTTATTTGATCGATGTTTCGCGTGTATTGTTTTTTTTTGTCTTTTCAACATCGGTTGTGTAAAAGAAAAATTATTATGTTAATTAATACTCATAAGATTGACCGTATACCACACAGTACGTTCTTGAGTTCGATTTATGACACTGGTGAGTCGCACGATAGTGGTCAGGGGAGGCTGAAATGCCTTTGTGAGTCTTCTTAGCCCCAAAATTGGCGTGACAAAGCTACTAGCTGGTCCCTTTATAAAAATAAAAAAAGAAGGAAAAATAAAGTGAGATGTTCTTAGTGCATTTTAATTAGTTAAATGGACAGAAGAAAAAGTAAGTAGGAGTAGGACACATACAAGTTTTTTTTCGATGCGAAACAATAGTGTTTTATTGATAATCAAACATTACAATTTTCTAAAGAAACGTCATCCAGATGTTCTTGAAATAAAAATGATTCACGTCCAAAGAACAAAGCCAGCTTGGACAACTTGTAGAGAGTCGCATTCGAGGAGAAGTTGGTTGGCTTGAAGTTGGACGGCTCTACAACTACAAGCACCTTCTCTGGCAGCAAGAAACTCAATCAAAGCTAATACAAGTTAATTGACATCAAGAACTTCACTTTCATTGTGTTTCTAATTGTACTTTAAAACTCTAACCTCAATTAGCAATCGTGTTTTCTTTCTTAATTTGGTCGAAACTTGCAACTGTTTTAATGGATTGGTGTGAAGCAACTTTTGCCTTTTATTTTGGAACGAAAATTTCGAGTATACATAATTGGAATTTTACATTCGAAAATTAAAAGTGGACACAAAACTAGAAGAAAACAGCTATTCCGAACATTTTTGGACTGAAATTGGGGTCACCTGATTGTGATCTGGCCACTTATATGCGTACTACTTAAGGCTCATGAACATTAGTTCAAAAACTGAAGCAATTCCAACACTTTCACCGTGCATGAATTTGGGAAGTCAAAACATTCAGTAACATAAATTTAACACAATCATATAGCACTCAAGCACCTCGAAGAGCAAGTCGTCGCTCACTCAAATGAATGAGTGCAAAACCACTTTGGTGGTTTGGCTTTTGCACCACCTCGTCCTACCCTTCTGATTGTATTTTGTCCACTTGCTTTGTTGGTATCAAAATTCTTCAGTTGTTGGTCCTCGGGTGGTGGACATGGTTGCTGGGTTTGGTTGTTTCTTTCGTTGGCTGAGTGTTTTGGAGAAATTTAATATGTTGTTTGTGGATCTTAGATGTTGCGAAATTAGAGATTTGTTTTGTTTTTTTATTTGGGGCTGCTTTGTATTTGTGTTTTTGTTTTGTGACCTTTGGTTTTTGTTGGTGTTGACAGTGAATCCGTTGACTTGAGCGATGGAATGGCGACATGCACGGTGGTCATGGAGGTGACGACTTGTGTCAATGGACTGAATTTGATTGGGCCATCATGTGTTTTTCTTGGGCTTTTTTTTGTACTTTTGACCTACTTGCAGCTTGTTTTTATGTTTATCTCCTGTAATATTTCTTTTGTCAATGAAATTTATGTTCGTCAACAAAAAAAAAAATTATAATAGGGTGATCATAAGGTTAAATTTTCATGACCAGAAAAGGAGGAAACAGAATAAAAACATAATTATGAGTAATAAAAAGTAGAAAAAAGAAAAGGCGGATTAAAGCATGGTTTTTCCTATACAAAGTGCACGAATTCATACTTTACAACGTCTAACTCGGGAACAATTCAGATCTTGTGGATCAAAAGCTTAACTTTATCCAAAATGTAGAGCCATGAAAACACCAATACTCTACTTTTTCTCCCTTCTATCCT